ATCTCACATGACCCATCTGCTTCAGCTTTCTGGCCTTTCTAAGGGCCATTTCTGGTCAATACAAACATACACTCACTCTCTAAGGTGCATTAAAGACATGGTGGATGCTCTATTCTGTTTGGGTGGCTTCTTTTTCACAGGGGGCGAATCCTGAGATGAGAACTCTCTTCACCCACAGAAAGGGACCTAGAATTATACCTGAAATGTTATGAAAAGGTCCCTCCACTAAAAGTCTAGTGCATCAACCATTGCTGAACAAAAGACGACAGACAACCTTTTTCCCCTCTCTATATTTAAAATAGACTAATGGGATTCAAACACTTCACTGAGCGTGAGGTCAAGCATCAATGGTCTCGTTACCACGGGATTTCATTGTGCATTCAGCTGCCTGCAGTCCGGGTTACAGAAACAGTGGCGTTGACTTGATGCATTTAGCACATTGATGGAAATTAAGCTTGCACAAACATACATGAAGCAAGCAGACAGGAGACATCTGGTGCAGTGACGACGTAATGCCTATGATGCACTGTGACCCTTATTCAGCGATGCCACTGTGTGCTGCAAGGGCAAAGACACACATAAGGGGGAAAGAATAATAATACAGTAAAGTAGACAGACAGAAATGCATCAAGATCATTAGACAATAATAAATAAGTGTGGACAAATAACACAAAATTTTATAAATAGTGATAATTTTTTTAAAATCTGGCTTTTGTTAAACAGTGCAGGTTTAAGAAGTCCATATATTGTTCTAAAGTGGCCTTAATCATGCCTATACCTTTAAAAAAAATATATTCCTTTCTGTGATCACAAATGGAATAGATACCTATGTAAATACATTACAATACTACAATCTGAAATCTATTTTTTTTAATTCTCAGTTTGGTGTTAATAAAAGAAAGTTTAATTCTTCCTAGCCAGTAGGTGGGGAACTCACCCACTTTCATTCTGAGGTGTTGGTTGGGTCAATAATGCAAACCAAACTAAACAAAAAATGTTACTGACAAGTTCATAAGAAAAGCAGCAACTTTCGTATGACTTTCCAGCCTCTTTGCCATAAGTCAGCACCAGCGCTTAAAAGATTGACCGATGTTCGCCCTCAGTTAACTTCGTTTTTGTTTAGGTTTGATTCTGATTGATGTAATGTCAAGAGGAAGCCATTTCTCATAGAGCCTCAGATCCATTTCATTTTACTTTAGCCTCCTAGTGCTATAGGTGCAAATTCCTTTGATATGGACTTTGGCATCGCAACCAGAAGTAAATAGATATTTTAGACCTGTCAAATAAATAAAAAAAACAGCTATTATTATACAATATTTTATTTCTTTAAAATGTATTATTTTATTCCGCATCAATCCAGACAATTTCCGGATGCACTATTTTTGAAAAGTGTATCCTTTAATGAAGCTATCACAAGCCGCAGCATTATTTTGATTTGCTGCTATGGTAAACTGATTGTGGTATTCTCACAGTGCAGAGAAGTGGTTCCTATCTTTTCTGTCACTAGATCTTTTTCCAACGCAACAGCCTGCACATTGTCTGGAACCAAAATATCCTAAATACTACTAGGTACTCTGCATACATTGAACCTCTAAATTCCAATGTTTTATACATGAAATTTGCATTAAGTCCATTCCTTCAACACAAGCTGTCAACAATTCTTAAAATTAAGATTTAGGGCATTGAGTTTGCAGCATTCACCTTCAAATTTGGAGCTTTGGATTATATTCTATTTCTCCAGATAAAGTAATATAAGGAAAGCGGGGAAGACAAAGCGAAATAGTTGCAAACGGCAGTGAGTCAATGACACTCAGAAAAAAACACAAACAGCCACAAAAAAAGGATTTAAAGGTTCTCCTGTCTCCCTGGTATTGAAATCATATTAAGAAAACATTAAACGGCTCTTTGAAGCAGCATGCGTGTGTAACTGAACCACCTAGCTCAACCGTGTTGTTCTGCAGTAAATGTGTGTCAGTGTGTTGTTTGCATTTTAGCTGAGTGTGCGAGAGGAAGCCAAGAGAAGATGGAAAGGAGGCTGGTTGTCAGGATGTGAAGTCTATTGTCTGTCCTACAATAAAGAGATCCAGTCTGCAGGAGCGCTGTGGCTCGCTCCATGGAGGCATTAACATGCGGGGCCCTGAAAGCTGTGTCTGGTAGAGTTGTGTGTGAACAAATACAAAACGAGCCTTTGTTATAGCATAAAGTCGATTTCAAGTTATTAGCATTGTATAAAAACAAAACTAATTCAGATGTATTAAAGACCAAACCAGTTACACTGACAACTCCTCGTTACCCTGATCTACTTCATCAGTAAAACAAATGTAAATAATGTTTATATGAAAGGCTCTGAGTTTCACTTGATTAGGATTAGACTCTTTTGGCCGCCGTGACTTTTCAAAGTCAGCATCCTAGAGATGAACCACTTAAGGATGATTGCTTAACACACACTTATTTATTGACAGTTCAAAATACTGGCAAGAGATTTTATAAAAAATTTGAATGCTTGTTTTTAAGGCCCCTATAATTTTGTCAATAAAGTATTTCTTAATGTAAATAGAGGATTTTGGGAATATTCAAAGAAAACATAAAATGCTTGAACTAGTTCAATTTGTATGTAAAAACATCGCAACTATTCAGGAATGATGATGTCATAACCACACCTCAAATTGACCCTGGAATCGGGGGACATTTCTGCAGCAACCTTAACTCGTCTCTTTTGATTATTATTTATATTTTATTTTTTGGTTCAGTTCAGATACTGAATTTCATCACCACATACTTCAGTTGGAATAAAAAAAAAAACATTTGCAAACATTTTTTTCAATCTGGACAACCCTTAAAATTAAGATAACAGCAAAAATTAAGATTGATCATTTAAATTAGGTTAAAATAATCATTCAGAATAGGTCAAATATTCAAGTAGTAAAAATCAAGGTAATCTTCACCAAAAATCCAGCTAAGCTAAACTACAACTTCAGAAACTATTCTCACTTTAAATAATTACTGAAGAACTTCGGTTTATGATCCTACACAACAGAAGGTTATAGAAAACAAGAGTATTTTAAAACATAATGTGAAGAAAATGAAAAATAGCTAAAAAACTTAAAGCAACGTTTATTTATCCTTAACTAAAAAAACTTTTTATAGTTTAAATTGTTTGTACCTTTAAATCAATCTATTCTTTCTCATATGAGTGAATGAAACTTCTGCGGCTGGGGCCCCAAACCTGACTTCAGCCCAGGGGCCCAAATCTTCCTGGATCCAGCCCTGATAAATCCCCACCAACCTAATGAAAACCAGTGGCTCCAGAGACAATGATGCAAACCTCCCAGCCCTCCAGCACAGTGACGCTTGCATAAAACCTACATCCTCCAGCCCACAGCGTCATAACATGCCTCCACTAACCTCTCCGACAAGCATTATAGTGTCTGCACTCTACCCCCCACCCCCCTCCACTGTCTGTTAGTTAACTGGCGCTGGCACCATCCAGCTTGTAAATCCCCCCCATGAATCCCACCCCACTCAATGTCCAGAGTGGACATACGCCCCGCCGGCCCTCCCCCTCTCCCAAGCAATTACAATAATCACTCAACTGAGGCTAATACTTACTTCATTAGGTAAATCTGTAAAAGAATAGGGAGGTAACAGCACTCCAAAGCAATATTTCCAGACTGTGGATTATTGCAAGGGTTTACTTGAGTCCACACTCATAATAAAGATGCAAAAGCTTTTCTGCAAATCAAACATATTAATGTTGGTATAATTTGCTACATATGAAGCATGTCATGATCAGATTATTTTGACAATATAAAATCTAAAAAGCTGTAAATCTGTGACCTCACTGATGACTTCACTTAAAGCAGGTCTGCTACTTTGCTGTATTTTTACTTTAAATTAAATGTTGCCTTCATCGGTACTAAATTTAACTGCAGCAATAAACAAATAAATGAACTAAATTGTAATGCAACAAAACTGGAGGAGGAGTTTTTTGGGAGCGATCAGGTACAGATACTGCTGGGCTGTCAGAAAAGAAGATGTCTGTCCAGCTTAAATAGAATGGCTTTATAATGGAGGCTGAAACTGTAGAGGAAATCAAGCAGAAAAAAATCAGTATTTACCTATTTTACAGGTGGTCACTATGCAGGGAAACAAATCACATCTTAATTATCAAAATGAAATAGAAACATAATTGCTGAACCCACTGCAACTTTAATGCAACTCATAAGTATAAGATTTTATGTCAACAATCTGCCAAAAGTTGCTACTTCAGCTGTAATATTTGCTTAAACCAGCTGATCAGATGGATGATGTCTCTCTTGTCATGGAGTCAAAGCACACATAAATAGAATAAACATTTTCTGTCCACCACAGCACTTTACACTAACTTTTTTTTTTAAATCTTGCTGTTATTTCAAATATTATTCTTCCTTATGTTTATTTTTGCTATGAGGATAACTAACAACCCACTGATTATATCCTTTAAAATGTTCCAACAGTCCTCAAAACCCAAACTAGAGAGTGAGAAATGTCCTGGAATAAAAATAAAAAAAACCAATGGCACAAAGATCAGCAAAGCACCAAGATTTTGAAGACAAAAACACAGATGCTACTTTTTTCATAACGCAGACAGTAGAGTTGCGCACATCAGGCTGCCTTAAGCTTTGTGTTGAAGATTGCATTGATTTGAAAGCTTCTCAGAGATGTTTCCTCTCCAGCCGCTCCTGGCCGCACTGCGCTGTGTTTACTCTGTGAGGTAAAGTTGCTGAACCCTGCAGCTGGTGAGCCAACCTGAGCCCAGGCGGACCGCTATGCCAGCTATACCAGCCCCAGCAGCAGCGCGCTGGATCTCCGATGCGTTATTTCTATCAACCATACAGATATCTGCTTCACTGCAACAGTTGAAGCTCCCCACTCTGCTCCTTTTTCTTCCCTGTTTTACTTCTCTCCCCCCTCACAGCCCTCTGATCCATCCCTTAGATGAATAACGGCACCAAACTTACCTTATTATTACGCTGATGGTGCGGATGATCTCCTGCCTTTTCCTCCTCTGCCGATGGATCCAGCAGGCTATCCTTCTCCTCCCACCGTCACGTTTGTTGTTGGATCTTTTTCTTCTTAGTTTGAGTTAGAAATTATTCCACATCCACATCAATTTCTGACCAATCGTCTCCTCGCCCCTCTTGTGTCCTTCTCTGATATGAAATGTTTGGACTAAGCAGCAAATCGTGCCATATGATCCTGTCATTCAGTTTCTACACAGAACAACTCGCTCTGTGCGCACAACTCCCTCCCAAGGCTTTGTAACACGAAACCAGAGGAGGAGGAGGAAGAGGAGAGAGGGAAAAAACGCAAAGAAAGAGGAGAAAGCGTGAATTTAATCCACTAAGTGGGACGAGTTGGACGGATGTGTCCGCCTCAGAAGTTTGAGCAGTCGAAAAGAGAAATGTGAGCGCTGCGTCTCGGTGCCAGGCTCCGCTAGAAATGATGAGTGTTGGTGCGTGGCGCTGCAGCGTGTGTGCGCCCCCCCAGCCTGCTTCTGCAGTACGCAGCGCAGCAGGAACCTGGGAGGATTTCAAAAAAAGGCACAAACTGGTCCCCGCCCATTAGCCCCTCCGTGCAAGGGCCCCGACATCCCAGGGCCCCTGCTGTAACCCTCACAAAGCTCCACGAAGGCAGTTTTTATTGTGTGCATAGTAAAGGTTTGTTTGGGGGCGCCCCCCCATCATGGAGGCTGACCCTGGACAACCCAGAGGTGCTTTCTAATGAGGCACTCACAACAAATGAGCAGTTGGTGAAGGAAACAGGAGGGTAGAGCTTTAGACCTGGTTTTAAAATATCCCACATTCAAACATCTATAAAGGTCAGGTTAATAATTAGTTCCCACTCATATATAACACTAAATAACACATTGTGTTGGAATCAACTTTTTTGTGAAAAATAATTAAATAAAGTTGCAAATTGTATTTGCCAAGCTGTAAAAACCCTGAATTCAAAGGTTTTATTTGAGTTCAATGGCTAATGTCCAGTGAATCCTGATGCTTACTATAAAATGTAGGTTGGTAAAACTCTACATTAACTTTTAAAAACAATCTTTACCACAAGTAAGACATATGTTTGGAAAAGATTAAAGAACCTTCAGCGACAACATCTCCTACTTATTGTATTTTAACCTTAATAGCTCAGGTTACTCATGGTAGGAAGAGTAAAAAGAACATTTCCTGAAGAATGACTAGTAATGCACTCACAAAAATATCACTTTAGTACAAGTAAAAAGTAGCCTACTGTAAGTTAAAACTACTCCCAAAAGTACAAATATTTCCAAAAGTCACTTAAAGGAATAGTGGAGGAAGTTAGTTTTCCAGGTGGATCATCAAAATAAGTGGTCCTCCTAGCTGTCAATCATTCTGGTAATATGTTTACGTAAGGCTGTCCTACGTGCTCATCCCCATTTTCACCTTCCGGTGGTGAGTCTGACACAGTGGAAAAATTGTAAATCTTCTTTTGGAAAGTAAGCTAGTATGAGAGATGCAAACAACAACATTTAAACAGGGTGTGCATAAGCCCATTCCTCCTCGTGCACGCTCTGTTTAAATGTTGCTGTTTGCATCACACATGTTCAATAGGGATTCCCTCTAGGGAGTTGGTACAGAGTTGTGCTTATTTTTTAAAGTGGAGAGGGCAGGTATTTTATAAAATTCACGAAAATCCTCACAATACCTTTATATAAATGTAACAGGGTAAATATAACCAGTTACTACCCAACTCCACATTTGACTTTAGAACCCCTTTAGGATTAATTAGAGTAGAGTCCTTCAGTTAGAGTCAGGCCCTAATCATCAATGTTTGATCCGATAAATGTGTTTAATGAAAAAAATGGTCAGAAATTCCCTAGAATAAATTACATGATTCTCAAGAAAGGTGTGCTAAAGAGTTAATCAACACTATCAATTAAAAGTCTGGTATTATTTAATGTATGTGTGACAGTAGATACGTAGCCTCGTGAGACCATCCTGATCTCGCAAGCTTTCAAGATTTCACTCGCTAATCAGTCTGGAGACTCTCCGTTGAAGAAAATTTGGAGCCGTTAACCAAACGAACGTCCAATCAGCGTTGGCTTTGAGGCGGGTTGAGGTCTGACGCAGCGAGAAGTCTAAAGAACATGGCGGCTTCATCCGATGAAACTAGCATTAGCGTGGCTATCGAGCAAGTTTTATCGGAATTACAGAGTATTTCTTCACTGAAAGAAGAGAAAACCACTGCTCTGGAGGCTTTTCTCAGAGGAAAAGATGTTTTTGCTCTTCTCCCGACTGGTTTCAGCAAGAGTAGCCTGGCTTGTGGTTGTGTTTTCGTCGTCGGTCTGTTAGTATGTCATTTGCTTCGTTGATCTGATTGGTTTATTTGGCCCGTCTATCACCAACATAGGCCAATCAGCTAACCAGTATTTTCGCCCCTTCCCAAAATTACCGCAATGGAAGGTTTCCAGATGGATATGCGGAGCAAATCCATCTGGCGGAGTCAGGTTAGTAGATACGTGCCACTACTGAAAAACAACAAAAAAAAGCTCCATTTTGGATGAGATGCATAGAAATTCTAATGAGCTCATGCATATTTTTTAACGACTATTGATGCTGAATATAATATCTGTCCCCAGCAAACACATACTCTCAGTTATATTCAGTAATTTGTTTTTTTAGTCCATATTGTTTGAAGTGGCCGTAAAAATGGTTATTGTTTTTTGCAGAGTGAAGTACTTTTTAACCGTTTATAGGAGCCAAAAAGCAAAGTTCCCCAATTGCACAAACAGTCGCATTGAGCTGGAGTATACCAAAGCATACCAATGAAGGCATAGACTACAGTGCCCCCCACCCCCATTGGAACATCACTCATCTACATCTGTGAATGATTGATTTTGTCACTCAGCAAAGTTTAATACGAGAAAGAAAGTATCACAAGAGACATCTGTATTTCCTTCACTGTCAGAGTTAAAACACTGTGAAAATTTAAAAACCCTTATTTATAAAACAGAGCATCAGTACATTCAGGCTTTTAGTTTAAACTTTTAGCATTCGGGTGATTTAAGATTCCTCACAGTGGAATAGAACCGCTCATATTGCATGCATATAGTCTAGATATGTGAATATATTAAATGAAAGCTGCCTGAAAATACTGTGGGATATTCTTTAACTACTGTAGCTTGCTTCTGCCTTTCATTCTGGTTTCATTTGTTGGTTGAAACCTTTTGGGAAATTGTGCTTTTCTAATTTATATCTTTGATCATTAAATAGCATTCTGAATTACATCCATTCTTCTCCAGGAACTAAAAGTGTGTGTATCTACCCTCCTGGGATCCTGTAAGTAACAACCAGGTAGAAACGAATGCTTAAATGCTGCAACAGTTGAAGCTCCCCACTCTGTCAAAAAATCTTCTTTTTAAAGGGATCAACATTTTAATATCAGGTGGGTTATTCATAAATTCTAATATGAAAGCCCATAAATTCATCATTAACGCATAATATGCTGCAGCCCCTCGAGTCAAACACAACAGTTTGACATTTACTAGACTGCAATGACGAAGTTTAGGCCTGGATGTCCTTACATCTTTTAAACCAGGTAAAAAGAAAACAAAGCTGATGTTTATCTGCATTGCCCATTAGAAGGAGCTATCTAGTTGTTCATATCTTTGTTACTACTTGGCTTGACTATGGACCCATTTACAGCCTATAGCAATAAGAGCCACACGCCTTGTGTAGTGTATCCCGCCATACCTCACGCATACCAGGACCAAAAAGTAAATAGTAACAACTACAACCACCAGCATTAAAAATTTGTTAGGCCTTTTTAAAACAATATTTCCAAACAGACTTGCGTTCTACCCCACAGCAAGGAGCTGTGAACAGTTTCAAAGCCAACCAAGGCAGCTGTACCTCTGGGCTATCAAGCAGGTGGATTGAAAGAGAACACTATCTAAAATGCTTTTGAGATACATTTATATTAAAGACATATGCAGGGATTCTCTAAAGTGCATATGGATGAAAGCTGTTTTAAATCCTAGCTGGTACTAGATAAAAAAAAAGAAATTATTTTCTCATGTCCTACATGCATATTAAAAGATTTGTTTTTTTTTTCGTGTGATATTGAACAATTATCCTTCATATGAAAGCTGACATACACATATTTTCGATATTGAGTCCTTGAGCCTAACCATTTGGCCATTCATTAATAATCATAAATATTAAAATCAATATTCAGGGGTGACTAATAATTGATGATTAAATCAAAAGGAAAATTTAAAGACATTCTGAATCTTAAGATATTTTTTTCACACCAT